CTCACTTCTTGATTCTCATTATTGATCACAGCATCTAAAATCCATTTTTGCATCCAGTCAATTATATGGGATTCTTTTCTTTTCGTACAGATAAGACATTTTCCCTATTCTATCTTGATTCTTGTTTCCATAAATAATTTAGCATATCATAAACTAAATATTATTTGAAATATTTTTCTTAATATTTTGTTAACATCAAAAGTAATAATTGTAAGAATGGCTGAACACTCAAGAGGGGGATGAATTGGGTGTTAGTTAAAATTAAAAACCTTTTCGCAATGTAATGAAATTCATAAGAAATTCTAAATATAAAAACAATGAATCGACATAAGCATAATCACAGTAGTAAAATGGTTTAGCTGGAAATATAAAGAGGTAAGGGAAGAGAAGATGCAAACAATGATTTATCCTGGTTCGGTCCTCACTGACCTACGTCCAGTCCCCAGGCTCCCCTTGAGATTTTCAATCGACTATCTCCCTCAAGTTTAACACGGGTACTTGAGAACCACTACAATCACAAGTTTGATCTGGGCACTTGTGACGCCACTTACAATTCTTAGACTAACCAGTCTATTCAGCAGCAACCTCACACCGAGGTAAATACTCCTCCTTACTCATCATAAGGATACAATCTGATAAGGATAATGAAGATTGAATATTTCTTCTCTCAAAGAAGTGATAGATGACTCTTAAGCACGTTTGGGAAACTCTCCTCTCTATCTTACGAATACATAAGGTTTAATCTATGAAGTACAGAGACAGGGAGTTTTCTTTCGGAGTTCTAAATGAGAATATGTTGCTTCGACATTTTAGCACTTGATGTTGTAAGCTCAGACTCTTCTCTTTTCTTTGTTTTCAATGCTCTTCTGTTTATAAATGATGTTGGGTACTTGACCGTTGAGCATTTTCTTCCCGTTTGGCTCGGAGAATAGGACCGTTGAAACTAGCCGTTGGAAGATTCTGACAAAAGTTGATTCTTCATATTATAAATACTTTTTGGCTCTTTACCTGAAATAATCTTCCTCAAATCAAGTGATAAGTATTTGATAATCTTAGAAACTATAAGTTGGAAAACATGGAATCAATCATCAGATATTTAGATATTCAGAACGTAAGATGAACTTACTTGATCGATAAAGCTTTGATCGATCAAGTTATCAATTAATTATATGAAGAAAAGATATAGCAGATATATGCAATTATCGAACAGATTATGGATCATGTGATGATCGAAGAAATGATCGATAAATGATGAAACATGAACACAGTGAACTTCGAATGAAATATGCAAGGTTAATCCCTTTCAAGTTTCGTTTGCCTTCGTGTCTTTTCGATAAAGAGTTATATGTTAAAAGAAGGCTGAGAAAGCCTGCAAGGGTCGGGTCCAACTGGTCGCAAACGGGAACGCAAGGTGCCTTCCCTACCATGTCATGGGCTCGATACCTGCGAGTGCACCTGGGATTAGTCTGGTCGGATGAGGCTGGGATACCCTGAGTTAGCGATACCATCCTACTCAAAAAAAAGAAGGCTGAGAAAAGCTTGAAAGACAATAGATCATTGATTTTAAGAATCATCATAGTCGACTGATGTTTAAACGGAAAACGTTCCATGATCGAATAAGTGATCGAACACTTGTTGATCGAACAGATTATTGATAATCCAAGTGTTATAGAAATGAAACTTCAGTCATTGATGATCGAACAAATTATCGATAAATGGATGATGGATAAGGTTATCGATAAACAATGAGTAAGAATATATTCAGCGAAAAACACAGACTATGTGGATTAATCGAATAGGTGATCAATCAATGAATATTCGATCAAGTGATCGATAAAATGAAAAACAGAGATTTAATCCTGTAAGGTAAAGAAATTGATTATCAATCACGTTATGTGAAAACAGGAGTTTCAGGAAATCGGATGATCGATCATTTTATCGATAAATCAATGATCGATTAGGTGATCGAAAACATGATTCAACATAAGTTAATGCAGTGAAGATAATAATCGATCATTTCGATAAATGTTTGATCGATCAATTGATCGATAAAAGATTTTGAACGAATGGTTTTGACAGAGCACTATATCGAGTAAGAAGACATGTAATATTCGAACAAGTTATCGATAAAGGTCTGATCGATTAAGTGATCGATTATTTCCTATAACATCTTATATTAAGCAGTTATACCAATGATCGATTAGTTGATCGATCAATCTAGCAAGGTATTGAGCAAACTAAATTATCTATCACGTGATCGATAAAACTTGATAGTTATCGATCAAGTGATCGATAAACATATTCATCTATAACGTTATCCAAAAATCATTTATCCAACATGTTACTGATAAAACCTTAATAATATGTATGAAGATAAAAGAGAAGAATTGAGGAGATAGTACCAGTAACTCGATGAGTATGTAGTCACTTGATCAGGCTCGAGTAACATATGATAATGGCTTTTCATTTCTTCATCTCTTCTAGAGCTTTTACTCAATAACATGTTTGAGTAGTATGTTGTTTAAGAGCTTAATCAATCTATGTAGAACTTCTGGTTTTTACCTCAATAATTTCAAATTCTGATTCAAGCAAAACGAAGGTCAACTTTGGGTGATCATAAATCTTCCAATTCAACTCCAAATTTTGCAAATGACCTATCCCCAGAAAGCTCTTTGAGTCTAATTTCTAATGCAACAAGAATCACCCCAAAATTCGTTGTGATTGCAAAGTTATCTTCATCACAATGACTAAAGGTCGGAATAAAGGCGTTAATCCTTACTGCAATCTTTCGAACAACATATCTCCCTCATATGAAACTCTTTGAAGGTGAATTTGGTGTCCATGAACCATGTTCTGAGTCTAGTTTCATAGGAATCAAGTTTCACCTCAAACGGATTTGTGATTTGAGAAATATTGAAGAAATACCAAACCTATGTCAGAACTTAATGAAGAACAGAGCATAACAGAGGATGTATTTTATCGATAACTTGATCGATAAATGGATGATCGATCAAGTGATCGATAATTGCCCATGAAAATCACCTCGGAAGCTTATTTTCCATGTTTATATGAAGGGTGACTCAATATATGATGGTATAATTTCCCGGTTGTATATTTTAGCTTCCGACTGAGCCATCCAAACTTTTGATTGAGCATAGCAATATTTAACATCAAATCTATGAACTTGAATCTTGATATTTTCATTTGATCTTGCAAGTTCTTCTTTTCTCAATCTCTCTTCTTCTTCTTCCTCTTGATCATTCTCCATAACTCAAAGTGCAATATAATAACTCTTTTCTTTTCTTGAGAAAACTATACAAGATATTAAGTATGATAGTTAGTCAAAATATGAGATAAATAATTTATGTAAACTTTTTACTTTATTGTTTGACATCATCAAAACTAATCATATCTAACAATAATTAGTTGTCTGGCGTTGCTAAGATTTTGATGCTAAGATAGGTGATTCTTCTTAATATGCCGGAAGAAAGATTCTTTCTTTCTTATATACTCCTCTGATCTTTAATATAAGACCTTTATAGTATAAGGGTCTTATATTTAGAACTGGAAGAGTAATTATTTAGTTTGGTTATGTTGAGTATTATTAACTCTATTGGGGTAACCTTCCTAGAAGGCAGCTTTTTTTTTTAATTTAAATAGTTTTGAATTTGAGATCTCTTATTTAAATGACAACATCAGTATAAAAAATGGGAAGAATTGCTATTAAGGTAAAAGAAAAAAACATAATAATTAAAAGGTTCAATGGCAATAAAATAACATCCAATGACAAGTTTTAGTGGGTCATTGAAATTTTTCAATAATTATTTTTTGGGATCTCATTTAAATTTGCCAAAAAAAGAATTCCCCGCGAGTAAGAACTTGACCACCGCACTTTTATGTTTTTCTTTCTTTCTCTTCCCTTATTCCCTCTCGCCTTTTGTTTCCACTTTCCAGTCGCCGATCAGGATTTAAGACATTGGCTGTTAAGCGCAGATGGACAATCCACGAGACTGCCGAATTAATGACTACTCCTTTTGTTGGTCCGTTTTTATAGGCAATATTAACGCTATTATATAGATCAAAAAGTTAGTTAGTTAAAAATAATAAATAAGTAAGAATTAAAAGTTTTTTTAAAAATATCTTTATTTATGAAAGAGAGAATGTGTGATGGATAGAAATGATAGTTTGAAAAATAAAATAATAAATATATTGAGTATTAATATAAATAATTAATGGGGATAAAATAGGAAATTTATTATAAAAATTTAAGATAACTTGTAAATATTACTTATAATTAAAAGCACAAGGAGAATGGTAATTGTTGCTTATTAAACAAGACGAATAGTATTTTACAAAATATTTGTGATTTCCTCATTTTATCACCTATTCAAAAATGAATTTTTAATTTTTAACAAAAATTAAATTTAGATCATTCAAATTAATAAATGAGACCGTCCTTATATCATCTTCAAACTTAGTCATTTTTATGTCAAAAATGGAGCTGCTGTTAGTTCAACTAACTATAATCATTATTAGTACATAAATATAAAAACTTTAACAAATTATATTGTTAACAAACTCTAACAAATCATAGTGTTAAGTGTTAACAAGCCGTGTATATTAATATTTGTTGATCTATAATATATATAACTCATATTTAAATAACAAAAAAACTTGTACCATATTTTTGTACTAAAAAAACTAAGGGCCTGTTTGGGTATCCCCAAACCGTGGTTTCAGAAGCACTTTTCTGCAAAACGAGATAATCTCCTCCACATATTTACTTCGTAATCCGTAAAAGCACTTCTGAAACCATGGTTTGGTTTCTATCCAAACACACCCTAAGACTATTTTGGCATTTAGCTGACTATTAAGAAGTTGGAAAAGTCAGCGTTCACACTACCAATTACCAAAGTTGGCTTTATACTTCTCTACACAGTGAAATGCCAGGAAACTTCTCAAACATGTTCTAGGAAGCCAGCATTCTCTGAAAAACGCGTTCTAGGAAACGGGATTGCCTTTTCCCTTGCCCCAGCCGTATCAAAGCAGCATAAGATTTGGCGAATATAATCTATTACTTCTTCAATTACTACGTCATAGTCTCTTCCCTTCTCAGCATCTATCATTTGCTTTTCATACACCAACTTGCATTTCAGATTTGAGTCTTCTTCTTTCCGATGAGTTCCTCTAATGCCACTCCAGAAAGATTTTCTTCTCTCTCAAAACCTGTCAATTCACTTCAAAGTCCTACTTCCTCCTACGATAGCTTTAACTTCATCCAAACAAGTAAGAAGCAGCAACTATACATTTTATTCGTTTTTCTCAGTCCATAATATATTGTTGGTCAAATTTTCATGGGGTTTCTCTTAATCTCTTGAAATTGCAGATAAAGAAAAGGAAGATATAGCGCAGAAGAATATCTCAGGCAGGAAAAATAGCACTTTTGCATACAGGATCTGTGAACATGGTAGGTCAGATTTCAGTTTAACAGATCAGGCTAAAGCAAAGCAAATGCTAGTTTTCTGATGAAATCGTTGTTTGTTAACTCAACACCTGTGAAATTGCAGTGAAACTGGGTCCAAAGCTGTCAGAAACTCTGAAGGGAAAGTTGAGCTTGGGGTCAAAGATCATACAAGAAGGTGGAAGAAGGAACATTTTCAAGCGTATTTTTGGGATGGAAGATGATGAACAGCTTTTGAAAGCTTCACAGTGTTATTTGTATACAACGGCTGGTCCTATTGCAGGCGTTCTCTTCATTTCCACAGAAAAAATTGCATTTTGCAGCGAAAGGCCCATGAACTTCTCTTCTTCCACAGGAGATTTAGTCAGTGCACCTTACAAGGTAGTCTTGATCTGTTAAAACCCATATGTGTGTGTGTGTGATCGAATTGATGTGTAATTATTGTAATGTATTGTACTGTGTTGATATGAAAGTTGGTGGGGTTAATTATGCAGGTTTTGATACCAATAGAGAAGATAAAAGAGGCCAGTGAGAGTGAGAATGTGAACAAGTCAGAACAGAAGTTCATTGAGATAGTGACTAAAGATGGCTCTGAGTTTTGGTTTCTGGGGTTTCTGCGGTATGAGAAAGCTTTAACAAATCTCCAGAAAGCCATTTCTATGGCCAGTTAGATCTTACCACGTAACTAAATTCTTGAACTTTTGTCAGAGTCTCTAATGTATAAATCATGAAATGTGTGTATGTATATATGTGTGCGCGTGCGCACCCTTTGCACAAGTATTAGAGTTTGACTTTTGTTTTTTTTTTGGGCTCTTTGTATTAAATGGAGATTGATAGTTAGTATTAAATTTTGTTTATATTTTACTGAATTATTCAATGTCAACCCACCGCTGATGCTTTGTCTGAACGAAAAGCTTTTGATTATTATTTTTTGCATGCCTTGAAAAGCCACTAATTTACAAGGTTAAGCTTTTTTCATGTACATATTGATATTGTTGATGACAACTTCCTTCCAAATTAATGAGACGCATGTGAAGTTGGCAAGTATAAGGATTTATATTTATTAGATGTTGTCTTGGTTCCTTCAAATTTCAAACCTGCCAGAAGGGGGAGGATTGGCCGGAGTTATTTGCTACAGGGTGTTGGCATCTATGGAAATGGAGGAACTCCTAGTTGCACATAGAGGATTGGAGTCACCCGTGGAATGGGGTCGAAGTGGTGAAAAGGTACCTAAAAAACTATAGACAGAAATGGGAACCCGAGGGTATGCAGGGATCCAGAGAGAGGATTATTCTGGTAGGGTGGAAACCACCCGAGAGGGGATGGTGCAAAATCAATGTTGATGGCAGGAAATCTGAGGCAGGAGAATCGGGCTGTGGGGGAATAATAAGGGGAGATTGTGGAGAATGGTTGAGAGGCTTCTCGATGAAATTAATGGAAGGGGAAGTGGTGAACACGGAGTTGTGGGGGATAGTTGAAGGCCTGCGACTAGGCTGGAAATTGGCACTCAAGAAAGTTATAGTGGAAAGTGACGCAGAACAAGTCGTCAACGATATCACTAACGAGAGATTGGGAAGGTATAATCAACTGTTAGTTATGATACTCAGGGATCTAGTCAACAGAGACTGGATCGTCAATTTTCAGCATACTTACAGGGAAGGCAATTGCTGTGATGACAAGCTCGCATCATTGAGTGGAAACATTGGAGTGCGAAGGCAAGAATGGTCCACTCCACCGTGTGAAGTAACTGAGATATTGAAAGAAGACTGTGCTGGGTTGGAATTCCCTCGCAGAGTCCTTGTGTAATCTAGTTGTTTCTCTTGTATCACCAAAAAAAAAAAAAATTTTCAAACCTGCCACTCTTGAAAAAGAATTTGATTGAATAAAAAATTATTAGAGTAGAAGTCCAAAATGTATAGAGGAAGAAGGAATATTCAGCCTCGAAATACTTAAAGGAAATAATTATTGTCAATTTATTATTAAAATTTAGAAGCTGCCCCACTGGCGAAAAATTTAAGATAAAAAGAAATGGAAAAGGGTTAATACTATTTTTAATTATTAAAATTTAATCTTGTTTTAATTTTAGTCCTTGAATTCTAAAATCAGTAATTCTGATTCTTGATTTTGGTTTTATTCCTTAAAAACATTATTTTAAGAACTAAATATTTGTAAGCAGGCATAAATAAAGTCAAATTTTAAAGACAATAATTAAAATGAAGTCAATATAAAATGAGTAAGTAACCGTTGAACTTTGGAGACCTTTGGTTGGCAGGCAAGCATGTTTGGACTGTCTGGCAAAAAATAGAAAAGTATGCTTGGACAAATAAGTTGGAAAAACGTGTTTTCAATTTTTGTCAAATTGGTTTTTGGTCCTTTAATTGGGCCAAAAATGGAAAAAAAATCATTGTGTGGGCTATAAGCTGAGTGCCCACTCACTTGAAATGACCTTTAAAAGGTCCATCTTTAATAGGCTTAATCATTGGCTGAACCCGGTGGGAAAAAAGCTGGCTGAACCCATTTGACTTTCTAGGGAAAAAGATCAGGGTCAATATGGGCTGTCTTTCTCTTTTGAGCCTTCCTTCGCCTAGCTTTTTAGTCACAGGACAAAGTTTGCTCCAATTTTACCCCCCAAAAAAAGTTTGCCATAAAAATTTCTATAATTAATTGCACTGGCCCAAAATTTAAATAATTTTTTAAAAAAAGTAAAATTAAAGTTCTTGAATGTACCTAGTTCTAATTTTCTTTCAATACAATTCTATATTTCATTTTTGGGTTAATCTAAATTTTTGTCCTTTAAATTTGTTCTTTTTTGGTTTTGGTTTTTTAAATTTCTGTTGTGATAATTGTTAATCGTTACACCCTAAGTTGTTAGCGACTGTATTTTTAGTTGTCAATGCACGTTTTAAAAAAAGATACGGATAATTTGGTAATTAAACAAATAAAATATCTATTTTGGAACTTCAAAAAAATAATTTGATAATTTTAAGAGATATTTTTTTATTTAATTTTCTTTTGTGGGACTTTATTGCAATTTTTTCATAAATATAGTATTAAAATAAACAATTAAGAGGAGTCAAATAGAACACCTATTAAGAAAATTTGAGACATCCTACAAATATTTCTTATAAGCAGGGAGAAGATATAGATCAGATGGTATAGTATAGTAGTTGTTTCTTATGAAAGTCCGTGGTTAATGCAACACCTCACATAATTATATCTACATACGTGATAAAATATTGGGTTAATTAATCCGCAAGTCCTTATAGTTTAAACGAATTTTGAATCAGGTCCCTATAGTTTTTTATTTATTAGGTCCTTATACTTTTATCTTTTTTTAATTAGGTCCTTGTGTTTATTTTTCTTTTAATTAAGTTCTTATAATTTCACTAAATTTTTAATCAGGTCCATGTAGTTTTAATTTTTATTTATTAATTAAATATAAGCTTAATTAAATAGATTAATACTGAAATATAAAATATTAATAATTAAATTAAATTAATAATTATGTAATAAAAAAAGTAATAGAATTAATTAATTCAGGAAAATTTTTTAGAACAATTAATTTTTTGCTGAAAAAATTAAGATCATTATAATACTTCAATATCTTTAGAATATTATTGTTTATAAACTAATATTAAATAATATATACTATTTTATGTTTATATAATAGTACTATTAGAATTTATAAAATAAAGAATAAAAAATTCAGGGACTTAATTAAAAATAAGGTGAACTTATAAGGACTTGATAAAAAGAAAAATAAATACAAGGACCTAATTAAAAACAGGTGAAAGTATAAGGACCTGATAAAAAGAAAAAAAACTATAAGGACTTGATTCAAAATTAATTGAAACTATAAGGAGCTGTAGATTAATTATCCCTAAAATATTTTGTTTAAAAGTTCTTAAGTATTTCTAACACTTCAACTGGTCATAATTTTAAAATATTTCTGATATAATTTAACAACATAAACTATTGAAATCTTATAGTCATGACAAATAAAAATATAACATAGCATATGTTGAGGAGCGCAAAAGCCATCACGGCTCATTCTATTGATGCCTTCCCTTAATTCTTACTAGATCTTCACCTGAAAATGTTAATGTAAAGGGTGAGATCAAACGTGTAACATCTTAAATTCTACTCCAAGGATTTAAATATTTAAAATTGAAAAAAAAAGGGGTTCAAACTGTTATTTTTTTCCGTTTTACCTAGGGTCTTTAATTTCAATTTACCCCGAGTGTTTTCTTTTTACCTTCTTCCCGTCTTTTCCTCCTTCTCCTTCTCTCTCTCCGCGTTGCTTCGTCCGCTCGCTCGCAGCGTCGCTCTCTCTCCCTTCTCTCTTCATTGTTACAGATCATTTTGGTAAGTAAAACTACTTCTAATTACAAAACTCTCTTCATGAAAGTTGTTCTACTCAATTAGATCTATCTAATGATAGTAATTTTGTATTGCTTAGAGAAAATTTTTGGTATAGAGTTTAGAGGAAGTATTTAGTTTTGATGAGTGTTAATCACAGTATTGTAGATCTGTTATAGTATATCATTTTTACCGGTTTAGATTTGTCTATTTATTGATTTTGGTATTTAAAAATTAATTTGTAATTAAAAATATGTTATTTATGATATATATATCATATTTATACTGATTAAAATTAAGTTAAATAATTTATTTGGGTTGTTTGATATATTCTTAAAATTTTAATCGGTATAGTTTTATTTATTGAGTGACTAGAGGTTTTAAAATAATTATTGTAATTAAAGTTTCTTATTTATGAAAAAAAAAACATATATATGCCATTAAAATCTTGGTTTGATTATTTATATATATAAATATTTGAGACACTATTGAATTTTTGATGGTCTGGTTTTGAGGCTTAAATTTTAAATGTGATTTTTGGAATTTAGAATATACTAATTTCATATTTAGAAATTTTAGAAAATTCTTTTTATTAAAGTAAATAAGTTGAGGGATGTAAATAAATAATTTGGCTTCTTAGAAAATTACCAATTAGTTCTAAAGTACTTAATTTTGGATTATAAGAGTTGTGAGAATTTAGAATGATAATTAAATTAAATTAGGAATTTAACTAATATATATAAGCTTAATTAATTAGCTTATATTAATTTGTGGTTATATTAATGGTGTAGATTGATTATTGGATTGTTGGTTTGAGCACGGGGTTGACTTTGTAGTAATTCTTTTTATAGCCTTGGTGAAAGGTAACCATTTTCCACTTGTTATGTATGCTTGTATGATGTTTGTGAGTGATTTCAAATTATATGAGATTCTTGAAATGCCATTGAATTATTATTTGAGCAATGAAAGGCATCGTTGTTGAAATTGCCTTGAGATACTTTATGTTATTGAAAAATAGTATGAAATTATGACTTTATAAATTTGTCATGTGGAACAAGAATTTATTGAGAAATGGTTTGAGGACTGGTGTTGATTATTGAAATTTCGAAATCTCGATTTTGATAAATGTGAAAGTTATTATGTTATTGGTAAATGACTATTCTCATGAGTATAAATACGAGAGGAGACGGTGAACGTTGATTTGTGGGAGACATGTTATAGGGAGAATAAGGGGGTGAATTTTTGTACATATTATAGAGGTAATAAGGTGGGAGGACGCCAGATGTACACTGGTTGATCCTTTGGCCCTATCATGTGTTGTAGGGCATATGACATCCCGCTAGTGGACTAGAGGGGGAACCCATGGTCCGATCTTGTGCTCTGTGGATTTTGGCCTATTCACATCACTTGATCGGTGAGCTTATTATGTTGAACTACCAGTCACATGGGACAGTACTAGCCCATGGGTTCAGTCAGAGGAAATAAGGCGTGAGGAAATAAGGTGGAATTGAGAGTGAGATATTGCATTTTGATATGTATATGTATATATATATAACCATGTGACAATTGTGAATATTATGATTTTAGTAACTGTTCCACTTGACACCTCTCAAGCACTTACTTGTATGCCTAATGAGTAGGATTGTTGGTTACTGAGGCTTTTGTCTCACCCCGTGGTTTAACATTTTCAGATAATAGCTCTAGGGCTGGACCATCAGGGAAGGCAGCGAAGGCTTAGCTATCAAGTTTATCTTGTATAGCCTCCTTTTAGTCATGTGATGAGTATTGTATATTGCCACATATAGCTCTTTTTGCACACTCTGATTTAATCGAGACTTATGGTCTTAGTTACTTTTGTTGCTGGGTTGCTTGGGTCGGTAAGCTGTGAACCCACAATAACTTTTGAAAGTGTTGACTTTTGACTAATGAGCTCTATAGTTTATATTAAACTGATTTATTAGTTCGTATGTTTGAAAATATCAGTTTGGTTTGGACTAATGGTTGAATGATATTTCTGGACTTTGGAAGTCCAAGACCCAAGGTAACGATCGATGTTACTCTTATTATAAGTTTATTTCTTTTAACCATGATAGCGATTTTAAAATTTTAAGGTTTCTTCTTTTCTATCATGGTTAATCGTTCGAATAAATTGAAAATTTTGATCTAAATGGGTTTTAAAGGAACGGTTGTCACAATTTGGTATCAGAGCCATAAAGTGAAAAGCCCCGAGCCTCTGTCTCCTGAGAGTGTGGCGAAGGGAGGATCTCCGTAGGGGATGCCTGGGTAACTAGGTGGCAAACTGATAGGTACCTTGTGATGCCACGCGGTGGGGACCTAGCACTGGGGACCCTGCAGCCAAGAGGGCTGGGGACCTTGCAGTGGGGACCCTGCACCGTAGTCTCTTCACAAAACGTCTCAATAACTACTGAAATTCTAACATATACAAACAAACTATATATAATAAACAAAAATCTGTTTATATGTGTATATATATTTATATATGAAAATCACAGATTTTATTCATTCATCTCAATTTCATTTTTGATTCAACAATATACCAACATCATTTTTCCAATATATCCAAAAATAATACAATATGCAGCCTCCTTTATATCACTGTCCACTCTTATACTGCTGACTGGAGTCATAGGCTAACACATAGTCCAATAGGAACTAATCCATTTTACTGAACTATTTCAAGCTCATCGATACTGGAGATATATCTAGCTAAAGATATAAAGCTCCTATTCGAACTATAACTCCCCTCCTTTGCAAATAAAATAAAGAGGTGTCACATGTCCCACAACTCTAATGAATTCTCGGCTAAAGGAAAACATGAAAGAAGGTGCCCTAACAACTATTATCCATTATACACCGAATGATGGTATACTACGTGGTAATTTATATCCATACAAATCTCCTTCTATTTTTAGCCCAACAATACATATATCATATGCAAATAATATTACATCATAAATACGTCTTTAAATATATTATTAAAAATAACATAATAATAAAATTTCTATATCATTTAATAGCAACTCATAATAATTTCATAGATATCAATATATTTAAATATTGATCATAATCAATAGTAATAAATCTTAACAAAATCAAGTAACATATCAAAACATTTATTTGAAAAATCATAATATTATATTTTAGTAATATAAAAATTAGTAAATCCACAATATAATCATACACAATTCACATATACAAGAAAGAATTTTGAGTTATCTGGTATGGTTTAGCTTACAAATATTCACAAAATTACTCTAAAATTCTCAAGAGTCTATAAAATTACATATAAATATTTATTAATATAACTCAAAACTATTCTTAAAACTACTTTAAAATTCTAAGACTACCCTCTAAACTAAAATTACAAAAATATTAACTCTTCCCAAAATTTGCTATTTATAATGGATATAATATTATTTTGAAAATATAATTTACATATAAGACTATTTAAATTTTAATAACTTAAGTAAATTTATTTTTATTACCCAAAAATATAAATATTTCATATTAAAATCTCAATTATTTATTATAGTCTTATTTAAAATTTTTCCTTAAACTAATCAATTCTTTTGAATTATAAATAAACTGTAACTATATCTAATTTCATAAATTCTCAATTTACAATTTTTAAGCTTTTAAAAATTATTTAAAAATATATCCTTAACCTATTTAGCATTCAAACTGATTAAAATCTCAATAATATATTAAATAATTTAAATAAATTATTTAACTTAAAATTAATTGGTAAAAACATACTATATGTCTTTGAATAACAAATTTTTCAACTAAAATTTTAATTTAAAATTCTCAAAACAATTATTGAACAAATATAAACTGATTAAAATTTCTAAAATCATATATTATCAAAACTCTATATTTACTCCACATCCAAATGGTAAAATTTTCTCTAAACATTATAATGATACTCATAACATAAAACTCTAAATATATAGGAAATATTTATAAAGAAAATATGATAAAAAGAAATATATTTGTGTACCTAAATGATCTACAAAACTTATCCTAATCTCTCTTCCTCTGGCTTGAATAAATAATTGAGGTGAAGATATTTAATACCCCTCATTTAATTCCTTCCACCGCTCTAATTTTTCCTTCCACCGTGCATTTTAATTAACTTTCCATTTTTTTCAACTTTCCCCCATTTTTTCTTTGTTCTTCATTAAACCTTCCTCCAAAATTCTTTCTTTATTAATACAAACACTCCTCCTCCCCCATCTTTTCCACCGAATTCGGGGGAAAAGATGACTTTTATATTTTTTTGGGTAAAAATAATAATAAAATACTATTATATATATTTAATTACAATTTTCTTTTAAGAAAAAAAATAGTATGTTACAGTTAATGCATGTAACAAGATGTTTCTTATTTAGGGCGGGTTTGGAATAACTTATCAATAACTTTTTAATCATGATTTATGAAATATAAAATAAGTATGTGAAAGAAATTTTATTTTAATTTCCATAAAACATATTCATAAGTGATTTTAACATCGTGCCAAATAAGGCCTTAGACAGCACAATATATTTTGTGGGCATAAAGGAATGGCATAAAAGCAGTGACTTACTATGAAAGAAACAGAAGACCTTCACATGATGCAACATAACTATGTATCTATATATACACATCTTAGCGTGTATATGGAACCACACAGCCTGTAGCTTTTCTAAAAACTCGACCAAGATGAAGAATATTGTGTTGCCTCTGCATCCCTTCATCTTGTTCTGCCTCTTTCTCTTTGCCTTGCCCACAAGTAATCTTGCCCAAGAATTACTCGATGCGGATGGCGACATTTTAATAAATGGAGGTTCCTACTACATACTTCCAGCTTTCGGAGGAAAAGGTGGTGGCCTTGAACTTGCCAGGACTGAAGGCGACACCTGCCCTCTCACCGTCGTCCAAGCTCGCTCCGAGACTTCTAGGGGCTTGCCGGCGGCAATCTGGACCCCCCCTCGAATTGCTTTTCTTTCATCGCACTTTTACCTCAACATTGAATTCGAACCGAAAAATTCATCCGCCTGCCACCCCCATGAATCTAGATTACGGTGGGAGGTTGAAGAAGAATCGCAACAAGTGAAGATTGCATCCGAGGATAAACAACCCGTCGTCTCTGGGCGATTTCAAATCCGGCCATATGGAGATGACTACAAGCTTGTTTACTGTGGAGGTAATAGAGATGCCTGTAAGGATCTGGGCATTTCCATTGACGATGAGAACAATAGACGTTTGGTTGTGAAGAATGGAGACCCACTCGCAGTTCGGTTCGTGAAGGCTAATCGCTGAGGCGACTACGCCGGAATGAGCGTTGTTTGATGATCGATCATCTCTCTCGCTTTTGCTTTTCCTTGCTTTTTAAAGCTTATATATGCAGTCAAGTTGTAATACGAGGAGCTTCTTCCTTATCAGTTTCCGCGGTAGCATGCAATCTATAATAAGACTGCACTGTGCTTGTTTATCTCTCTAGTTAACAACAAAGATCACTAATTTTATCGGTCGATATGTCCATGTGCTAATGAACCCTTGTCGTGCCGTTATCTTTTTTACGGAAATTGCATGTCATATCAATAGATGTGGCATCCTACATGCCATCCGTTATAAGAACTTGTTTATAGTTTACAAATGAGGTCTTATGACTAGGACTGGAGGTAGTATTAATTTAATTGAACTTTTAGATCTATTGTGTATGACCTCCTTGATATTTCGAAACTTAAAGGTAACATCCTAAACTTTAGAGGTTTTTATGCAGCTAACTTTAAGTTCAGGAAGATTTTATAAAATTAATAACTTACATATGATGCTATGTAGATGTGCCATGTGTCTTCTATTGATCTGATGCGTCAATTTCTGTCAAAAAGATAATGACAATTTAATGGTAAGTAGTATACCGTATATGGTTATAGAAAAAGAGGGTTAGGGTGGTTAAATTTAAACTTTAAAATATTAAGGAGGATATGTCCACTCAAAATTTAGAGACGTTTAATATAACTTAATCTATATGTATTCAAAAACTTGAACTCATATAAGATCTTAATTGGATTTGAACAGTTTGCGCAATAATTGATCTAAGTTCGATAGATATTCTTTCTGCAACATATCGATCGATCTTGGTTCGAAGTTGGAACCTTATTTTGTACATTTTTTTCACTTCCGTCGTCCAAGTTATTCCAACATCGATCTAGCAGGCTAATCACTTTTTGGTACATCACTATGATATAATGAAATGCTAATTGAATGAGTAATTTATCGGTCCGCTCTAGATTACTTTAATTTCGATCTTTTAATTTAATTGTTAGTTACATTTTTCAGTCACTGCTTATAAGCTTAAATAAATTCTTCTATTTATGATTTACATATATTATAAATATTTATTTTGCCTGTCTAGAATTTTATATTTTATACCCAAAAATTAACAGATACAAACAAAAGATAACAAAAGATCCACATATCCTTAAGGTCTTTGTGTGTGTATGATAAATCACAATTTTATATTTTGGTATCATAATATAATATTTCTTATGAAAATTTTATATAATATTTTAATTTACATTTAAAATACATCAATTTAATGAATCCCAGAAACAGGTACCAATATATATAAATTTAATTATGAACAAAAGTTAAATTCCAGGGATAATAAAGCTTCTGGTTCATTAAGTTTGTGTTAGTTATGACAGATTTGGTTGTTTCTGAAATTTAGTTTTAATTATCCATCGAGTTCCTAATTATCCGTTTGGTTGAGAAGAAAAGTTGGGAGGGAAAAAATGGGAGAAGAGAAAATGGGAAGAAGAAAAAACTAAAAAGAAAATATTATGACCCATATTATTTGGACGGAAGAAAGAAAATAAGAAGAAAAATGAGTAAATACGTGAATAACTAAAATACTCTTATTTCTATGTCAAAATATTATGTTTAAAATCAAATTAAATATCACAATAAGAAATTATTTTATTAATATCATCAAATAATTTAAAATAAAACCAGTTAACAAAAATATATCATAATATTATCATATTCAAAAATAAAATAGTTTAGTTTGTTATTTTTTAATAGAAAAATAAAAATATGAATTTTTTTAATTAAGTCTAATAGAAGAAACTAAATAATATATATTATTTAAAATTATTGTTAAATAATAAAAATAAAGTTGAAAGAGACAGAGAAATGTATATGCGTGTGTGTGTAGTTATGCGAAATCCCTTTATTGCATTGAATGTTAAAAAATGGAGTTTCTAATGTTGGTTTGGAATTCTGTACAGTCAGATAATTTTGCTAAATTGAAGGGAAAAAAACTGTGTGATGGAAAACTTTGTTACCCGTTCGACTCAATAGAAGACAATAGATTAATAATTTTCCTAAATCAACAGTGAGCTAAGAAACCTTCGATTTGGGCTCTTTACGAACGGAATCAATACATATAGTAATTTCAATAGCACACATAATACCGGACTGGTTCTTATTGTGATTTACAACTTGTCTCATGAGAGTATCGAATGTAGATATTACGTGATCTGTTACATTTAATGACGTCATTAATAGAAGTTACATGGTGATTCTTTAATTTTTTTTACATTTTTGATCTAGTTGACTAATGACTTTGTTTTTTTTTTTTAATTTATAGGCATTTTGCAATAGTGTGGAGTATGAACTTGACAAAATCAACCCAATGAGGAATGCTTTGTCAGGAACATTACTTGAAAATATGGGTACCTTGATGAACATTTAGTGTAGTTGAAGTTCAAAATTTTGATGCTAATAATTGAATATAGGTTTTTTAGTTCATTTTTTATTAGGTTGAGTTGAACTATGGATTGGTTAAGTTTGTTGATTATTAGATTTAGTTGAATTAGGATTGAAAAATTTAGTTATCTTAGTGTTAAATTTGAGTTTTTGTATTGAATTCATTAAATTTAGTTTATTAAAAATTGTATCTTAACTTTGAATTGATTTTGCATTATTTTGTTTTGTTTTGCTTGCTGGATGTTTTGATTTGGTATTCACTACAAAAAATAGACTTTAGGCGACGACTTTTCAGCGGCGACAAAAAAAGTCGCCGCTGAAAGTCCACTTTCGGCGGCGACACTTTTGTCGCCGCTGAAAGTCTTGGTTTCAGCGGCGACTTTTTGGTGTCGCCGCCGAAAGTGGACCTTCAGCGGCGACTTTTCTAGTCGCCGCTGAAAGTGGACCTTCAGCGGCGACTTTTCTTGTCGCCGCCAAAAGTGGACTTTCAGCGGCGACTTTTTTGTCGCCGCTGAAAGTATAATATAATAATAATATTTATTTTACAATATTAATAAACAAATTGCCGAAAGTGGACCTTCAGCGGCGACTTTTTTTGTCGCCGCCGAAAGTGGACCTTCAGCAGCGACTTTTTTTGTCGCCGCTGAAAGTATAATATAATAATATATATTTTATTTTACAATATTAATAAACAAATTACCGAAAATGGACCTTCAGCGGCGACTTTTTTTGTCGCCGCCGAAAGTATAATATAATAATATATATTTTATTTTACAATATTAATAAACAAATTGCCGAAAATGGACCTTCAGCGGCGACTTTTTTTGTCGCCGCTGAAAGTATAATATATAATATATATTTTATTTTACAATATTAATAAACAAATTCAATCTGGCTCAGCGGCAAGAAGGTTGGACACGAAGGGAGGCGGTCACGAGTTCGAACCTGGAAGAAGACACATTTAAGGTGCAAATATTTAGACGATGACGTGGCGAGGAGGAGTGACGTGGCAATGACGTGGAGGTGGCTAGTGATGATGTGGCGATCGGCGGTGATGACGTGGCCACCGATGGCGATGACGTGGAGGTCGACGGTGATGACGTGGCGGCCGGAGACGATGACGTGGCCCGGCGGTGATGACGTGGCATTGGTAAAGCAATTCTTTTTAGGCATTACTTTCAGCGGCGACAAAAAAGTCGCCGCAGAAAACACTTTCGGCGGCGACAAATGTCGCCGCTGAAAAGTCTTTCCGCGGCGACAATAGTGTCGCCGCCGAAAGTGTTTTCTGCGGCGACATTTGTCGCCACTGAAACTTCTAAAAGTCGCCACTGAAAGTATCTTTTAACGGCGACCTTTTTAGTCGCCACTGAAAGTTTTCAGCCACGGCTGCTACGGCAACGACTTTTCAGCGGCGACTTGTCGCCGGCAAAAAACTTTCGGCAGCGACTTTTGTACTTTCAGCGGCGACTTTTGTCGCCGCTGAAAGTCAATTTTTTTGTAGTGATTGCAGGAAAGTTGTATATAAATTAAAAAAAATTTATATAAAAAATTTTAAACTTTTCCAAAAGTGAACCCCATAAAACATTTTTTAGCAGTTATATAAAAGAGGTTTTTTGTAGTGCTGAATATTTGTAAATTAGTTATCTAATTATTATATTAAGAACAAAAGGTAATACTCCTTCTAGTACTTATTATAAGATATCACTAACTAATTCACATGCATCTATAAAAACAGTTAAACGCATTAAATTTGTTATAAAACTCAAGTGATCTCTAATATTATCATAACTAACTACATCATATTCCAATATCATATTAGTTTCTACTACCCTTATTAAACATGGGCATATATGAAAGAAAGTTACTTATTACTCATTAAAACTATCATCATTTCTTATAAAAAGGGCTAAATTTTTTTTTTCTAAATGACCTTTCATAATAAAATTAGAGAAGCTAGGGGGTGTTTGAATGAAACCAAACCACAGTTTAGAGAATAATTTTGGAGAATAGATTTTGTAAAGAATTAGATTTTGTGAAAAAATGATTCTGCTAAAGTGAGAGTGTTTAAATAGTTGTTATCAGAAGCACTTTTATATGTGCAAATTACTAAAAAAGCGTAAGTTAATATGATAATTACATAAAAATAGATTTATAATATATTTTAATTTGAAGGAATAAAATTGTTAATAATATTTTTTTACCAACATAATTTATAATATATAAGATAATGTAATTAATAAATAATTAATATGTGTATATATATTATAAAATATAAGATTAAATATGTTTAGAGAAAAATGACTTTTTTTTTGCTAACAGAAAAATATTAATTTTTAAAAAAATTTTAAACACAAAATCCCATAACTTTTTTTCACAACTACTTTTGTAACAACGTACTACCTCCGATATTTAATATAATTAATTAATTAATTGTTACTACATGTATATATATTTATAAAAATATAAGAGTAAAAATATTTTTGGAGAAAATGAATTACTTTGTTGTGAATAGAAAATTATTAATTTTTCGTGAAAATTATTAATTTGGGTGTTTTTGGTCAAAATATACTGTTGCTTCCATTTGACTCCTAATTATCACTCCAATGACACAGTTTTCACTCCCCAAAAGCAACAATTTTTTACTTCTCACCAAACCATGGTTTCAGCCTTCAAAACCATGGTTTCAGGCTTTCAGCTGTAATCAAGGTTTCAAAAAAATTGAGGCTGTTTAAATGTCATCTTATCTAAACCATGATTTTTCCTTCCAAACTATAGTTTTGGATACTATCCAAACAGGCTCTAAGAATATACGGAAACTTATAAGCAGACTTTTCTCTTAATATAAAATTCTATATTTTCTTTCATTATTTTAGTCTTTAGTATTATGTACAAGAATTTCATAACTGAGAGTTGATTTGCTATTTTTTTTTTTTTTGATAAGAAAGAAAGCAGGAATAGATCTACTCGCCAATCTCGATCCAGCATCCTCTGCATTCCTGAATTAGAGTGGCGTATTCATGCAGATCATTGCATCCTTTCTTCACCAACGCGATTGCCTCGGCACAATCACTATACAAGTTAATACTCTTCAAACCTCCATCCCAGGCTCGTCTGAGTCCTATTAGACAGCCCCATAGTTCTGCTAACAGGGCATCACCTTCTCCCATGTGGAAGGTCCAAGCGTCTACATATCGTTCTTGGGGATTTAGAATGTAACCCCCACAACTCGCCATACCCCTGGCAAGCGACGCCGCGCCATCCACAACCACTGATTTACTAAATTATATATATATATATATATATATATATATTTCAGAACTCAGTTACATCAAGTATACGTGGGTGTTGTACGAAATAATGAGAGGCAGGTAAGCTGCAAAGTGTCACACATGCAAATATGCATTTATAATGGAGCGTGTAGGGACACTGATCTAGAGTACGGCTCATCATTATATGTCCCGTGAGAAAGATATAAACAAGCGGAAAAAACAGACTGTTGTATCGTCACATGCGACTCTGACGCTTAATATAACATACTCTTGGTATTAAAAAAATATATTAAATTAATAAAAAATTTTAATTTTATTTTTATTAAAATTTCCCCCTAAATTTACAAATATTTTCATTTCTTTTTTTCTTTTTTGGAGAATCAAATAAAAATAAAAATAAAAAACAGATATTAAATATATTATAAATGACTTATATTTAATACTGCAGCTTTCCTCTACCACGGACTTAATTGTATTTAGTATCAAAGAGCGGAGAGAAGCTGTCTTTAGTGCACGTAACATTCTTGTGTAGACAGCACGACATATTTTGTGGGCATAAAGGAATCGCATCAAGGATATGAATTAATGAAAGAAACAAAAGACCATCACATGATGCAACGTAACCATATATCTATAAATACAATGACCTAGCTTGTATATAGAATCACAGTACAGCTTCTTAGAAGGCTATAGTTTTTCTAAAAACTTGAATAAGATGAAGAATTTTGTTACCTTTGCATTCCCTCCTCTTCTGCCTCTTTCTCTTTGCCCTGCCCACAAGTAATCTTGCCCAAGAATTGCTCGACGTGGATGGCGAGATTCTAAGAAATGGAGGCTCATACTATATACTTCCAGCTTTCAGAGGAAAAGGCGGCGGCCTTGAACTTGCCAAGACTGAAGGCGAAACCTGCCCTCTCACCGTCGTCCAAGCTCGCTCCGAAACCGACAGAGGCTTGCCGGCGAGCATCTGGTCCCCACCTCGAATTGCCATTCTCAGGCCAGGATTTTCCCTTAACATTGAATTTCGACCCAGAAATCCATCCGCTTGCCACCGTGAATCTAGCTTGCAGTGGAAGGTTGAAGAAGAATCACAACAAGTGAAGATTGCATCCCAGGATGAACAGCGCGTCTTCGGGCCATTTAAAATCAAGCCATATAGAGATGACTACAAGCTTGCTTACTGCGAAGGTAACAGTGATCGCTGCAAAGATCTGGGGATTTCCATTGACGAAGAGAACAACAGGCGTTTGGTTGTGAAGGATGGAGACCCACTCGCAGTTCGGTTCGTGAAGGCCAATCGTAGAGGCGACTATGCTGGAATGAGCGTTGTTTGATGATCATCATGACTTCTACTTTTTGTTGTTTGTTGAAGTTGATGCAGTCATGTTGTAATAAGAGGAGCTTCCTTACCAGTTTCCGTCATAGCCACTTATAATAAGACTGCACTACTGTACTGGTTTATTACTCTAGCTAGTTAACGAATAATCGATTCTATTCAATAGATATCCACACGCTAAGATATATTTGTTACTCCTCTAATCCTAAATATAAAACTAATTTTATAGTGTAAATTACACTATAAAATAGTTCTTATATTTAAGACAAAGAAGTATTTTTATTTCAAAATCCTTCTGTATAATCTGAATCCAAACCGAACTAATTTGAGATATCTTAGACTTGAACAGTCCTGGCAATTCAAAGTAAGATATTTTCTGCAGCATATATATGTATATCGGGGGTTGCAACTGTATTTTCTATATTCTTTCCACTTCCTTCCAAGTTCCAACACCGATCTATAGGCTAATCACTTTTAACTTTGCAAATGGAAGAAACAAAAATGAATATTGAAGTTGAACTGCCCTTAATTGTCGCTTTGGGGTTACTCCAAAAATTAACCGAATTAATGCAGTATAGTGCACAACTCGGGTCGTTTCACTTTGAGGAGCCGAAAACGAAATTAAACCCTAGTAAATGAATGCAAGTAACCTAAACTATAAAAAGAGATTTTTGATTTTGAAAAGCTGTTAATTAAATACTACGAATCAAATTGAAATTAAAATACTTTTTTTTGTTTTTATATAAAAGTGATTAAAATGAATGGAGATTAAAGAAATGAAAATGAGACACACAAATAACACTGATAAAGTCAATCCTCCAATTCAACAACGCAGGCAATCATCACTCTAAAAGATGTGGGAGTTAAAACAATGAATTAAGAATTATAATCAAGCTTTTAATCCAACAACCGAGCCACCTCGAGTTGTCACAAAATATTTTCCTAAAATCCCAACTTACTAACTGCAACCAGAATAGTAAAATGGGATTAAAGATGCCAAAAACCAATGCTTAATTAGAACTCTTAAATCCAAAATAACAGAATTAAAGCTAGTAAGAGACTATATGATCCAAAATTCTAAGCCACCTTAGAAAATCACAATATATTAATTCCAAAATCAATACAAATGTCATAACCACAACATTATAATTGAGATCAAAACTATAAACAGCCCAATGTCAAATACTAAGCAATAATTCAGTCACAATAATCCCCAAATATAATCAGATTAAGCAATACAATTATCCCAACAATCAGAAAAACTATCCTAAAACCTAGGAATTGTTAAACAATTATTGAGTAGGAAATTAAAGTAACTAGAACTCCCCTTTGATGATCTAAGCTTCTGCCATTATTGTTGAATTAGAGAACTGTGAAGCTAGCCACGGTTTGCCATCAAAAGTGCCATAATCAGAGCTCTGTTACGGTTTGCCATTGCGTCCCCTGCTGTGGAGAAGGAGAAGAAGATGATGGATAGTCCTCCCTCCGTGTTGCTCTGTTTTTTTTTTCTTCTCAGCCGCCGCCCAGCGTCTTCTCCCGTTCGTGCTTCGGTCTCCGCCTGGTTCAGCCGCTGTCTGCGTGTATCAGCTCTCTCCGTTCGGCGTGCTCTCAGCTCGTGTATCTCCGCACCGCCAGCCAGCTCGCTTGCGTCTCTCCTCCTGGTTCGTTCTCTCCCGTTCTCGTTCGGCCGCCTGCTCGTTTTTCGTTCTGTCTCCTTCGGCCTCTCTTGCGTGCGTGTGTTCGGCGTCTTCGTTTCCAGCTGATGATGATTATTAGGTTGGGGCAAAACGCAACGTTTTGCCCCAGCTTATTATTATTTATTTTTTTTCTTTTAATTTAATTCTTTTTCTTTTTTTTTTTTTTTTTATTTATTTATTTATTTTTGAATCTTCCAAGAACCTGCAAGCAAAATTCAAGAATAAGGTAGCATTAATTGTCCTTAAAAATCAATTAATCATAATTAAATCAAAATATGACAATTTTGCCCCTATAAAATAATAATTCAAAATAAAACAAAATAAATCAATTAAGGCAAAAAGGGACCAATTAAGTTGACAAAACCCATATAAAAGATACCAAAATATATAAAAATAATTGAGTTTGTCAACTCCCCCACACTTAGCCTTTTGCACTCCTGGGCAAAACATCATTAAAGAAGAATCCAATAGAGACACTCAATGCAAGCAAACATAAAACTAACTAAGCATGAGTGTGCAATTAACTCAAGCAATCTTATTCTTAATTAATCAACAATCATAGAATACTTCAGTGCAAAGAATTTAACACCTGAAACATAGCAGGATAAAAGAAGAGAAACATAATAGAGCTCACATAGGGTACAAGTGTTTCACTCATCTCTCAAGTGGGAAAAATTTCACTCAATTCACCTAGATTAGCACCTACCATAAGCTTGTAGAGATTCTAATATCTCCACTACTAACATACCTTAGAGTCATGATCAAGGGGACTTGAAGGGTTGTAATGTTGGAAAGCAAGGTCAAATGAATGAAATGAACTAGCAACTGAAATGCATGAGTAATAAAGTATCAACTCAAAGTGAGCTAAAGTACAATCATGAAACAACACCAAAGTGCAGATTTTAACCTTTTAAGACAAAAATCTTTGCTCTTCAAACCACCATGGAATGCTTTATTTCAAAGTTATTCTTTTGTTGCAACTTATTTTCTCTTCTTTTTTTTTTAACTTTCTTTCTTTGGCTTTTCTAAACATTTTCTTCTCTTTCTTGCCTTTTTTTTCTTTTTCTTTTTTTTTTTTTTTTTTTTTGCATCCAAACTCAAGAAGGCAAAGATATTGACTTTAATGATGTACTTTTCAAAATGAAAAATCAGATAACTCATGCAAAACACTTGCTTAAAAGTACTGAATGGAATGAAAGTAAGGCTCAAAGGGGTGAACAAAGGTTAAATGAAGTGGTTTGTGTTTGGGTAAAGGTTTAGAAATGAATGCCCCTATCATCTTCACAAACCTAGGTATTAATGCAGCTTTGAAAAGAATCTAGACAAGTTCTAGAGGTTAACCAAAACTAGGTGAAAATCACACAAGATGAGAAAATATATGGCTCAACAATCCTTCCATTAAGGCTTTCTCCAAGATGTTTCCTCCTTAAATATCAAGCTATGAAACAAGGTTAATAACACTGCACTAAAGGCATTCTACTATGTTAATCAACTAAGAACAGAAATCACTTAAATCAAATGCAATCAAACTTAGCAGTGCAGCATTCACAAGCATTGTTCAAAAAGATTTTTAAAAGAGATGCCCAAGGATTACAAAAGTCAAGTCAGCAACAGAGAGAACATCAAATAGCCCATACAGCAGTGCAAAACACTGAGGCGAATGAAAGCAAGAGGACATAGAAACCAGCAACAAAATTCCTAAGCAAGAATTACTCTCAAATGATGCGATGCAATTCAGAAATCAACCAATAAGGCAAAGAAGAGAGCAATTATAGCAGCAATACTTAGGAAACAGGAGCAAATCCAAAGGCAAAAATTTTTTTTTTTGTTTTTTTTTTTTAAACAAAACCTAACAAAACATAACACTTACTCCCCCACACTTAATCCTTGCATTGTCCTCAATGCAAGCTTAGACTAAAGATATGAACAATTGGAAGCTCAAAATGTGCAAGGACAAGGTAGGGAAAGTACTGCATGCAACTAATAACAAACAATAAAACAAAACACAAGCTACCTTTTACTACTGGCTATGCCCCTCCCCCACACTTATCACAAAACAAGCAAGTAATTCAAAAGATAAGAGTTAAGGAAGGAAAGGAACAACCTTTAGAATGAAATCTCTTCAAGCACTTGTAAGAGAAGTTCTCATCCCGGATGAGAAACATATATCTCTTTAGTGTGGTCACTTCTCCATTGACATTTCTTGGTGGTGAGGGTTCCTGTAAGGGAAACATTGAACAAGCAGCAGTATCTAGTCCAAAAAGAAAAACTTGGAAAGATCTAGAGTAGCATAGGTATATCTGAGTGGCAAAATCTTCCAAGTAAATATCACACCCAAGAAAGTCAATAGGATTCCTTTCTATAGGAATCAAATAATCAGGAATATTTTCAAAAATGTCTTGTGTATACAAAGCGGAAGATGAAGAATCCAACTGACAGTTATTGGAGTACATCACATCACTTTTACTAACGCAAGAGGTGGGTGAAAAAAAAGTGGAAGAAGAAGAAGATTCATGCAGAATATGATTATGCAATGTAATATTATTATTTACATAGCTACTTAAATCAGTAGGCAAGTCACAAGAAAGAATTAGACGAAAAGATTCATTCTTATTTAGAATTTTGTCTTTTAAAATTTTTGAATCTTTCCCTACTAACTCATTAGAAGCGTGCAACTCAATGGGATTTTCAGAAAGATAATTTTCAAGGCTATGGTCAAATTCACATTTCTCCACAGGATTAACATCCAAGCAACTCACATCAATATCATGCTTTGTATTGTCAGCACTTTTAGTACTAGAAGGCGATGCACACAGTTTACTAAAGTTCTGCTTTTGCAACCCAACAAGTATATCATACTTGTTATCAATGCACTCCATGCATATAGTGTGGGCATTACAAGAACAAGATAGAGGTTCGTTCAAATCAGAATCAATTGCACCATCTAATCTAGCACTAGAAGGAGAAGCATGTTCTTCATACAAAGAAGCAGTGACAGTGTAAGCAATATCATCAACTAAACAACTACTATTAGAAGTGTTCAAGTGAGAATTTTTATTGTTAAGCATTTGAGGGGATTCAACTATGATTTCCTCATCCACCTCATCATCACTCACATTATCAATAACTTCAACAGGAATAGTAGTTCTAGTACAAGGGTCAATCTCCTCAAGAAGAGGAGCAATATTACCTGATGTAGGGCACGAGTCCTTGTGAGTTTGTAGATGTTCTTGCTTCATCTCAGCCTCTTGCATGAGTGAATCTAGACACTTTGATTCATCTTTCCCAATCTCAGACTCAA